CACTATCACAACCACTACCATGCTCTACCACCATCACTACCACCCTCTACCACTATCACAGTGCTACCACCCTCTACCACTATCACAGTGCTACCACCCTCTACCACTATCACAACTGCTACCACCCTCTACCACTATCACAACTGCTACCACTCTACCACCACCACTTTCATATTTTTCTACAAACTTTTTCTTAAATTATGTGTTTCTCACATTCTTTACCAAAGGGCTGGCACTAGAAGCTTTCTTTGGAGCCATGGTGACTTACTTAGCAGTTGCAAGCACTAAAACAAATGGAATATTATGAAATGTATCGTATGAACTCGTGGGATCATCCTCACTCACAGCTAAACAGTGGCACACTGGCTGGTGAGGTGGCTCAGGGCCGTGCGTAGGCGTCCCAAAAAAACGACTATTTGCAAGTCAAATGACAATTTGCGAGTCAGTGTTTTAATGAAAAAAAATTACAATTTCTGAAAATTACGACTTTTGAGCCTTACGAAAAACGAGGCTCCACTGTATGCCATCCTTGAACGATTACCATGATGCTCATTGCTTCAGCTATTTTGTCCACTCTTATGACCTTCACAATCCTTCTACATACTGGATAGTAATATACATTAGTAGAGGTCCATTATTTGTTCGCCACCCCTGTTTACTCCATCCTTTCTCTCTTCGTCTTCACTCTTGTCTTCTTTTCATGTGCCCCTTTTATATGTTCATCTAGCTTTTCCCTTCCCTCCTGGGAGGTTCCAACAGTTTGTATCTGTTCTTCTCCACTGCCATGCATGAACACCCAATTACCTACAGTTGCTTCTCGCTTTTTTTTCTTACTCGCTTCTGGTCTTGTTCTCATGCCGTTGAAATGTACGCTGATGGTTCTAATTCCTCTTATGGTGTCCGATTTGCAGCAGTGTTCCTGGACAGCATAGTGTGAGGGCATTTATTAGACTCAGATTGCATTTTTACAGCTGAATTATATGCAGTTCTCATTGCACTTATATGTATTGCATCTATGCCTACCTCGACATTTGAAGTAGTCTCAGATTCCCTTAGTGCTTTGCAAGCTATTCAGAAATTTGATTCACCTCATCCCCTAGTTTTTCATATACAACTTTTGTTTTTCCGTATTTCCAGCAAAAACAAAGATTTTGTTTTCTGTTGGGTCCCTGGTCATGTTGATGTTCAGAGCAATGAGCAGGCAGACTCTGCTGCACAGCCATCAGTACATGACTTTCCAGTTTCATATAGAGGTCTTCCATTCTCAGACTATTTTCCTGTAAACTCTAGCCATCTTTGCAACCATTGGCAACAGTGTTGGTCCAGTATGACTCAACAAAGTATATTTTATCAAACCAAGTTTAGGTTTTTGGCCTTCTTACTCTTGATGCCAAGGTTGGGGAGGCTACGCTTTCCTGTCTTCACATTGGGCACACCTGTCTTATTCATGGGTATCTAATAGAGAGGCACCCTGTCATACTCTGTAAGACTTGTCAGGTTCCAATTTCGGTTCGTCATGTTCTATTGGACTGTCCTGTCTTTCAACGAGCACGCTGAATTTACCTCTGACGCTGTCACTGTTCTAACACTTACTTTATCTTCCCTCCTTGCTGATGGTCCCACCTTTGACACAGACTCCCTCTTTCACTTCTTTGACAGCAACTGATTTATTACACAATCATTGATAATCCTTCCTTTAGCACTCCTCACAGAGCTTCCTAACTTTACCTTTGTTGTCCTCTCCACCCTTACTTATCCTTTTATCCTGCATCACTCCCTTCCCTGCAGTGCTGTATGACCCTAGTTGGTTTAGCACTTCTTTTTGATTATAATAATGCATTTTCCAAAATTTCCAGTATTACCTGGAGAGGGTTTCGGGGGTCAACGCCCCCGCGGCCTGGTCTGAGACCAGGCCTCATGGTGGATCAGGTCTGATCAACCAGGCTGTTATGCCTGGCCGCAGCAAACTGCGTAAAACCACGCCGGTTGGTCAGGTACTGCTTAGGTGCCTGTCCAGTGCCTTCTGAAGCAGCCAGGGGTCTATTGGTAATCTCCCTTATGTATGCTGGGAGGCAATTGAACAGTCTTGGGCACCGGACACTTCTTGTGTTGTCTCCCAGTGTACTCATGGCGCCCCTGCTTTTCATCGAGGGAATGTTGCATCTCCTGCCGAGTCTTTTGCTTTCATAGGGAGTGATTTTCATGTGGAGGTTTGGTACCAATTCCTCCAGGACCTTCCAAGTGTATATTATCATGTATCTCTCTCGCCTGCGTTCGAGGGAATACAGATCAAGGACCTTCAACCATTCCCAGTAGTTTAGGTGCCTTATTGTACTTATGTGTGCCGTGAAAGTTCTTTGTACACTCTCCAGGTCTGCAATGTCACCAGCCTTGAAGGGGGGGGGGCCATTAGTGTACAGCAGTATAAAAACATAATTCAAAAGAAAATGTTATAGGCATTCCAGTCACTGCAGAAACCTGTTCATTAATCGTATCCCCATAGTATGTGACTGGGCAGGTGGACATGTTCACCTGTCATAGCCAATCAGGACTGTGATTGGCTATGAAATCACAGATCTACTATAAACTGTAATTATTGGAACATAAAAACTATGTAAATTTAAAAAACAGTGAGTTAAAGAGTTTATTGGCAACATTTCTCCAAGCGACAGGACTCCATATTGCCATCACATGAGCATCTAATGCAAACTTTGCGGCTTTATATCTCAGTAAGTATGGACCCAGATTTTTTTTTTTTAAACACTTAGAAAATTAACCTTTTTTTTTTTTTTTTTTTTTTTTTTCAAAAATGTTTGGGGTGCTAGTGTGATGCATTGATCAGTGCCTTAGCAGTTAATCCCTTCAGGGTCCAAGGCCAAAATCTGAAGTGGTGCTCTAGTGTCCAAGAAATTTTGAAAAAAAAAAAATTATTTTTTCTTACAGAATTAAAGAGTATATTTTTGTGAAGGTAAAAAGACAAAAAAAAAAATTCTTTCTGATCAGTACTTACCGAGATACAGTGGCAGGAAGTTGACCCAAAATGACCGGGTGGCGGCAACATCAGTGACTTCTGCAAAATCCCATTTTTTTTTATTTTACGTTTTTTATACTTTTTTCTTTTCTAATTTTTTTCTTTTTCTAATAACATTTGTGGCCTGTGAGACCAGTATAATGTATATTGTATAAGTGTATACTCATTGTATTCCACACAATAACTGCACTACAGTAATTTGTTTATCATTATATTGCTTACAATACTTGTTTACAAGTTTATTGTAAACAAAATGATGAAAATATTAGTGCGGTTATTGTGTTGAATACAACAGTACCATATGGTACAATGGTACCATAGTGTGCAATTGTACCATATGGTACAATGGCACCATATGATACAGTGGTACCATATGGCACAATGGCACATGATGCAATGGTACCATATGGTACAATGGCACTATTTAGTACAGTGGTACCATATACAATGGTACCATATGGTGCAATGGTACCTTATGGTACATTGTACCATACAGTACAATGATACTATATGGTTCATTGTACCATATGGTACTGTTGTATTCAACACAATAAACACACTAATATTTTCATTATTATTTTGTTTACAATAATTGTTTACAACAAAAATATGCAAAAATGTTGTATATTAGTAATGTTCTATTATATATTTACAAGTGTACAGGAACTTGACGTGTTTCTTGAGGTGGATGACAAAGCACTTGTCTCGGAACCTGCGGAGTCAGTAGCTAGCTTGCTTCCACTCACTCAGTCTTGGCTGGTGTCTCATGCCACCAACACCTATTGACCATATGGTACACAGTATCATATGTTACAGGGTACCATATGGTACATTGTACTATATGGTATAGGGTACCATGCAGTACAGGATAACATGGTACAGGGTACCATATGGTACCATATGGTTCAAAACCATAGAATTCATCTTCAGCTCCACTTCCATCAGTCTTAGAACTGTAAGTTGTGAAGAGGAGAGTCAGAATTCACCTGGAGAGTGAGTGGGGAGTGAGAGCTTCCTTGCCGCCAGGCACTGTGAACAAAGCTACTTTGCCGGCGTTCCCACAATGCCATGCGGGCATCCAGATTTTTCTATGGTGTGCACACTGACCACCCAGACCCATTCTCTCAGATGTAGGCCTGCCAGCCTTCTCGTACTAAATTTGACGCCGCTAGAATTTTGGCGTAGATCTACGGTTTGGACCCTGAACGTAAAACCATAGATCTATGGGATGGACCCTGAAAGGGTTAAAGGTTGCACTGAATTTTTTTTTTAATTTTGTATAAAGTTGGCCTAATTACCAACTTCTATGCACTTTGCACCATAGTTTTCATAATTGAATGGGCAATTTCTTGCTTCTTAATAAAATAGCTAAGAATTTGGTTGAATTAAGCAATTGAATTGCTGATGTGTAAAATTGCACCTAGGCTGCTAAGTTTGCACCTGCATAATTCTTTAAGCTTTCCATCAAACTTCATGCTTTTGGTGTCATTACCTTCAGAAAACAGATTCTCTACCATCTCAGAAGAATTTTTTTTTTTTTTTCACAAAATGCCAACATTGTCAGCACTTTTATTTTTGGGGCTTCCTACAGTGAAAGGGTTAATGGTAATAATATGACAATCATTGACTAGTAGACACTACTTACAAAACCTCAAAACTACAATTAATTAATAATACCCTTTGATGATAACTCAACAGAAAATATTTTTTATATCAGAAGCAAACAATCAAGTGCTTGCCACAGATTTTTCATCATACTTGTTCTTGCCTTGTGCATCAATAACACTTTTATCTCATAAGAGTATAATAATGAATATCTTTTAAAAATGTTATTCCAACATTTCACATTAATAGGAAGGTTGTAAAAGTTTACTATTTAACAAATGGAAAGGATCCTTTTAATGCAAAAATGCTTATTATATTTAATTTTGAGCTTTTCTACTTAAGATTAACTTTTTCTAATCCTTAGATTGGAGAGACCATACATTCTGGTCCAACGCTTGTGGTCCAGGAAAAACTCAAGAATGAGGACGTAGCAACCAGAAGTACCCGTGTCTTCCCAGCTGATGCTCGGGAGAACGTCCGTGTGCTCCGTAGAAGTTGTCACCTTGTAAAAATTCCTTCCACCAGGCAATACTCTCGCAAGTTACGAACACCTCTGTGTCCAGCTTCTCAGCCTCAACCAGTGCTCCATAGACTACGTACTCAATGTGACGTGGGGGCTACAGTCCATCATAAAACTTCTCCACCTGAGGTACTTGTACCTGAAACGTTAGTACCCGAATTAATTGTGCCCAAGACTTCAGATCTTAAAGCAACTATTCATCAGGTAACAGTGCCAACTGTTGTTACTGAAGCTCCAGTTCCTGAAGAATCTGTTGCTGAAGCTATATCTGAAGCATGTGTTGAAGCTGCTGTTCCTGAAGTATTGACAAATGTAGCCACTGTTCCAGAGTTGTCACTGAATGAGACGACGGTCCCTGAAGTGACACCGAATGAAACTGCTCTTCCTCAGAATCGGCTAACTGATGCTTATGTATCTCAGAAGTTTACAGTAACCTCTGCTACTGAAATTTTATTTAATGAGGCAACTGCTCATAAAGTAATAAAGAAGGAACCTTTATTTTCTCATGATAGTGAAAATGAATGTGATAATTTTCAAGACTTGTTGAATAAAACTGATGCTACTGTTGAGGTTAAAGTGAATCAGTTGTCCATTCTTGAGAATAAAGTAACAAAGGCTGCCAATCCTAAGGTTCAGGCTCATGACTCGACACTCCTTCTTGGAACTGTAAATGAAGGTGCTTTTCCAGGGCTGATTAAGACTGAAGCTGCTCTTCCTGAACTTGAAACCAAACCAGTAATTACTGGGGAAATTGTTGGAGAAGTAGCCAGTATTGAACCAACAATTGCTAAGTCCAAAGCATCTGTATTAGATTTCACTTCAGATCAAATCTCTGCTCATTCTCAAGCTAGTCCACCTGCAGCCACTAAATTAAACAGAGAAATGGTAAGATTGATTCAAGAAGCAGATGCTAAACTTAACTCCTTTTGTCAAAAAAGGAGAAGTCGAGCATCTAAAAGGTTAAATAGTGCAGATTTTGAAGCGGTTGTAATAAAATCAGAGCCACTAGTAAGAGCAAAGCGATTTACTAAACCTCGAAAATGTAGCTGTCGCTCAGAGAAGTCAGAGTCTGAAACATCAGACTCTCGTAGTGTAGCAGATAAGCGTGTCTGTTTCGATATGGTGGATAAAACTATAAAACGAGGAAAGCCAAAGAATGGGGAGCCTCTGTTAGGTGAGGCTGCAACCCATGTAAGTGCCAAGTACAATGGGGATGTGACTTCGGAATTAGTTAATGGAGCTCATAAAGTGAAAGGACGTAGAATCAGCCGTGTTAATAGCGATGAGTCTGATAATAGCTCAGTGTCTAGAAGTAATGGCAATATTGAACACAATGGTGAAAAGCTAGATTTTAGTCTTCTACTTGAAATCTCACCTGCTGACAGAAAGACCTTTGAAAGTAAAAAAGCAAAAATACGAAAAAAAACTGCTGACTGGTTGCTTATTTCCGAAACTGAACAGTATTATAATGAAAAAGAAGAAATAATGAGAAATAAAAACAAAGTGGATTCTGATAGTGAAAGTGATGAAAGTGATGATGGTACTGAAAACCAAGACTCTAAAAGTGACTGTTCTGATGAGTCCGAAGGGACAGCAAATCCACCCAGAGGCAGGGGAAAGGGAAAAGGGAAACATTCACGAACTACTGATGATGACTGTAAATCTAGTGCAAAAAGAATTAAAGATGATCCAGGTTTAAGTAAAAGAAGAGGGCGTCCAGTAGGAAGCAGAAATAGAAAAACCCGATATGATCTAACAATGTTAAACGATGATGATGATGACGACGACGACGAAAATTTCTTTGGCTTCCCCGTGAGCACTACTATACCACAAAGTAATTCTGTTGGAATTGGTTCCACTTTGCAAACTCGTTGCAAGATCAAAGGGGGAAGCAAACGTTTATCTGAGGCATCTAGTAGTAGAAAATCAGGTCGGAAGCGACTGTCAGATGCAGAAAGATTCCTTCGAGACAATCGGGAATACTATCACTTCCAGGAAACTGCAGAGCGGCTGAGACGGTCCACCTCAGTGGCAGACAAGGAAAGAACCAAGGCAGATGAATTTGAAGGAAAGGAATTTGAAAAGGAGGATTCAAAACTTAAGGAGACCTCCAATACCAAGAAATGTTTCACATTTGAGAGGAGAAGGAGAGTGACTCGTAGCACTGGAGGTAAACTAGAAGATCCACGTGATGGTGAGAAGAGCTTGGAAAAGATGGAAATAAAAGAGAAACCAAAATCCTTTTCCAAGAATTCTGACAAATTTGAATTAAAGGATAAGGACAGAGACATAAGGAGAGCTTCTGATGATAAGAAGAGAAGCTCAGAAGAGCAAAAAAGAAAAGGACTTGAAGAAGAGAAGAGAAGAGTCTCTGAGGACAAGAGAAAAGTATCTGAAGAAAAGAGAAAAGTCTTGGAAGAGGACAAGAGAAAAGTCTCTGAAGACAGGAGAAAAGTCTCTGAAGAGAAGAGAAGAGCCTTTGAAGAGGAAAAGAGAAAAGTTTCTGTAGAGAAAAGAAGAGTCTCTGAAGAAGAGAAGAAAAGAACTTCTGAAGAGAAGAGAAAAGTCTCTGAAGAGGAAAAGAGAAAAAGTTCTGAAGAGGAGAAGAGATCTTCTGAAGAGAAGAGAAGAGCCTCTGAAGAGGAGAAGAGAAGAGCCTCTGAAGAGGAGAAGAGAAGAGCCTCTGAAGAGGAGAAGAGAAGAGCCTCTGAAGAGGAGAAGAGAAGAGCCTCTGAAGAGGAGAAGAGAAGAGCCTCTGGAGAGGAGAAGAGAAGAGCCTCTGAAGAGGAGAAAAGAAGAGCCTCTGAGGAGAAGAGAAGAGCCTTTGAAGAGGAAAAGAGAAGAGCTTCTGAAGAGGAAAAGAGAAGAGCTTCTGAAGATGAGAAGAGAAGAGCTTCTGAAGAGGAGAAGAGAAGAGCCTCTGAAGAGGAGAAGAGAAGAGCCTTTGAAGAGGAGAAGAGAAGAGCCTCAGAAGAGGAGAAAAGAAGAGCTTTGGAAGAGGAGAGGAGAAGGCTCTCTGAAGAAGAGAAGAGTCGAGTCCCTGAAGGAGAAAATGGAAAAGTCTTTGAAGAAGGGAATAGAAAAATCTCTGAAGAGAAAAGTGTCTTTGACGAAGAGAACAGAAGGAGCTGTGATGAAAGTGCATTAAGGAGTACAGAAGGGCTGAAGACAAAGTACTGTGAGGAAGACTTAAGAATAACTTATGCAGAATGCAAGAAAAAAGCTAATGATGTTGACAAAAGAAAAAATACTGAGGATGGTAAGAAGAAAGGGCCAGAGGTAGATAAGAGAAAAACTTGTGATGATGAGGAGAGAATTATCCTTGCTGCAGAAGAGCAAACTGAACTCCTAGCAGAAAATCTGTGTCAACCCTACACAAATATTGATGGTTATTGCTCTATAAGTGCAGAAACAAGTACAGAGATGATAGATGGATCAAGAAGTGACTTACAGGATTTGTATTTCTCATTTGAGGGTGTACCTGAGCAAGAGTGTTGGTATCAAACATACCAGAGATTAATAGATGGTAATGATGTTAATGAATTTGTTTATGAAGAGGAACCCCTGAAGTTTGTTTTGCCATATGAAATGCCGAAGGAGTATGTTCGAGACTTTCTCTGTTACAAAAAAGGACTTGTGTCCAAGAAAAAAAATGACCTAGCAGATCTAGTAAGGAAATCCCCTAGATGCCATGCGTCCACCCTTGCTCTTTTCTCTGACATCATTCCAGCAAAAAAGGCAAAAAGTTCAAAAGTAGCAAAGTCTGCTCCGTTGAGAGTGGATGAAGCCTCCTCAGATGGAACAAGCACACCTGGTGCTGAGTCTGTGAGAATGCAGCCTCCTGAGTCTTTTGAATCAACAGAAGAATTAGCAATACTTGCATTACACATTGATCATGTTATGAAATTGGAGACTAGTGAGGAGAACCCTGTATGTAGTGCTCATCTTGAGTTAAAAGAAAGTGAAGAACAAGACTTAAAAAAGACACTGCCTAAGAAGCGTGGTAAAAAGAAGAGATTAACAAGTTCCAAGTTTGATAAAGGATCAGTGAATGTTGCTAAAGAGCTAAAGTTGTATGACAGTCCGCTTGCTCATGAAGTAGACCCATTTTTTATTGCTGGGCTTTGTGATGAGGTGAAAGACTATTTAATGCCAGAAAATATACTGGCTCGGGAAGCGTCTGAGGTTATTGACGATGCGTGTTTTTGTGTGTGTACTGATCGTGCTTCTTGTGATGAATTTTCTAGTGCTGATGATAATACAGAAGCAAGTTCAGAATGTGTGTCCTTATGTGACTCAGAAACTATTGACGGCTCTGTTGTCAGTGAACCTAAGCCTTGCCGTAGTGGTAAAAAACGTAGGAAGAACTTGACTGGCTGGCCAAAGACTCAAAAGAAGAAAAAATCTGTTCCTTCTCACACATCAGATGATAATGATAGTGCTATAGGGTGTGAGGATCTTGAACCAAAGAAACAAGGGCGCTGGAAGAAACACGATGACTTCAGTTTTCTGGAACAAACCACAACTGAGAAACTTGCTGCCCTGGCTGCATGTGATCGCAGAGCCTCCCCTCGTAAGAAGGCTTCCGTCTTGTATATGGATACATGGCCAGTTAGATTTCGAACACAAAAATAGAATTTATTAAAGTATATTGGTACAGTGAGTCAAATAGGTCTGTGTGTTGTATAAAAAGTGTTTATACATATTTATTATGAAATTGTATGGTATGCTTGATGATTTCTTCTTTTTTAAAAGATGGAACCAAGGAGTCTCAGGATAGCTCTGTAAGAGATTGTGTCAGAAATCTTTGTACAGTTCTGCAAGAGCAGATTTTCATTGGAGTGACTGTTAGAAGAATGTTTGGTTCAAATGTAAATTTTAAGATGAGCATTTTCTATGATTTATCAACTATAAAATAATCTGTCTAGTTACACACAGTTTTATTCTATTTATTTTCTAGAACATTAAGCCATGCAGAATCTTTCATTAATCTTTGTTTGTATATTAAATGACACCTGTATTGTTAAATTTCTCAACAAAAATTTGAAGGCACTGGATTAATTTCTTTGCAATTGCATTTCATTATATTTTTTACACAGTTTCAAAATTTTAATCATAACTTTGTTACTTCCTGTAGACATATACATTACCATGAAGACAAATGAACACAGAATGAAGGTTATATAAAAATTTTATTTAATTTTTTCACAAGTATGGACATACGCTTTATTTCCTTTTGTAATGTCTGTTTTGTAGAGTGATCCTGTAATGTATAAAAAGTATACATTTTGTAAATAAAATTCTTCTACTCGGAGTACTGGCCAATGATTCATAAATGTGAAATAAAGAGATGTTTGTATCTATCATCTTGCTTTATCCTCCATGATCTGCATATACAGGTTTTCTTTTTTTCATAATGAAAGCTGGCTTTCCATGAGAAATATGTTTTTGGCATCATTTTTATTGAACAAATCATATTATCTGCTCATATTGAATACAGTACAAAATATAATGAATATATAATTGGATGTACATAATAGACTAAATGTCCCTGTATATTTATACTTGCTTATATAAATGTTATATGCTTAAAAACAATGTGATTGATATTTAGTGTGCATGATTTTTGTCTATTGCTTTGTAATATTTACGTATATTTGATTTTGCGTAAAGACCTCTTGAAGTCTGTGCTAATTAAACTTTTAATGTATAGGAATATTTTGCTTGTCGAGTTTTCTTTCACAGAGTGCTCGGCATTTTTCATGTTACAAACATTGTATTAATCAAAGACTTCTTTTCCAGCTTTCTTACTCGTTATACAGAGCTTCAATATTTTTACCAGCATCTTTTAGAAAAAATAAAATCATGAAATTATGCATTAAACGTTTTTATAAATATTTATAGAATTATGTATATTCTTGTATATGCAATTTTATGAAAACTGTTATAATAATAAATTTACTGTCATGTGTTAGATTCATATCTCGACCACTGGATCTATTCATGTTTATTTCATTGTGAAATTCTCCTTCAAAGGGGGTCCCTTACCATGGCAAAGGGGCTCTTGATCTGAGGAATTGGACCTTTTCATTTTCCTCAGCTCTTATCTAAATATCCCCACCCATCCCTCTACTTTTTGTCTCGGGGATATTTCCCTATTGGCAAAATCCCACTCCAAGACAGAAGGAAAAGTAATCACTATCTGTCCTGTGCTGCTGAAACTTCTATTGATGGTGCTGTGATGATTGAATTACTGTAGCCAATGGAAACTGGATCATCTTAGGGAATGTCAGGTGACCCTCCGATGAGACTGGGTGGCCATCTGGCTGTCCCTGTGATGACAGAAGTACTACTGGAGGTTGCCTGTGGATTTGGGAGTGGTATCTGAAAGTGTAAAGCTTTTGGTGTTCTTGCAGCTTTTCCACAACTATGATTAGCTGAGAGACACTTGTACTGTTCATGCTCCTGTCTAAATGGGTGGTTTTGCTAAGCCTTTTTTAGACAGTTGTGGAGTTGCCATTCTGGTATTGTGCACTAGGTAGGTGGTGGAGACGGTACTTTATTCATCAGGAAAGAACACACTGGTCTTGATCGTATGATGACCTGGTCAGTAGTTGAACATATGCTGACTTACCCTAGCTAGGTCCCACACCCTATTTAACCCTTTCACTGTCCAGATCCCCAATCTGAAATTTGTCCACAATATCCAAGAATTTAAAAAAAAATATTTTTTTGTATGAAATGGTAGAGAACCTTTTTCTGAAGGTGATGAAACAAAAAAGTACAATAATTAACCCTTTGACTGTTTTGGTCATATATATACGTCTTACAAGCCACCATGTTTGATGTGTTAATACGCATTAATTCTAGCAGCTTCAAGTCAAGCGAGAGAAAGCTGGTAGGCCTACATGTAAGAGAATGGGTCTGCATGGTGGGTGCGCGCCCTGTGATAAAAATCAGGGACTCGCTGGTGCATTGTGGGAACGCCATCTTTGTAGTCCATTTTCACCATGCCTCACGGTAAGAGGTACCTTACTCCTCGGCGGATTAGAGGTCTTTTGTTCCCAAGTGATAGCTCTAACAGCAATGGAAGTGCCAGTGAAAGTGAATTTCATGGTTTTGGAGAGGGTGTGACCGAAAGCAGTGCCCAGGATAACGTAATGAGTGATGAAAATCCAGATGACCCACAACCTTCCACTTCTGGTGCTGGGCAGTCTCGTTCACGTTCACCTGTACCAGGACGAAAGAGGAAACTATTTGCCCGTGTACAAGACTCAGATGTGAGCAGTGAAAGTGATAGTGATTTCCAAGCTATTGAAAGCAGTTGTAGTTGGACAGTGAGGGTGAATATTCTCCAGTGAAGCAGCAATATGTACGACGCAGCATGCGTATTGGTAGTGTGTCATATGCTGTTCCAAAGGGAAGGAGTAAATCTCGGAGTACATCTCGTGGCCCTACACCACGAACTGATAGTGAAGACGACGATATTGTTACAATGGGGATGAATGATGTGCATGGGGCAGCAGTTGGTGGTGGTGACATGAGTCATCCGGCACCAGCAGCGAGCCATGCTACTACCCATGCTGCTAACTAACCACACCCACAACCACCCTCAACCACCCCCAACTCCCACAACATCCACAACCACAACTACCTGTAAACATTCAGATTGACTGCATCTGGGATTGGCAGCAAGGTGACAATTTTGTTCCCAATCCTCATCACTGATAAAATACAAAGTGGAATACGGCCATCATTGTACACTTGGGAACAATGCCACTGAACTGGAATGCTTTCAGTTATTCTTCGATGAACCCCTGATGGACATTATTGTCAGGGAAAGCAATACATACTTCGAGTACACCATGGTAAACAATTCTTTCACGAAGGTCACGCCTACACGAGTGGAAGGACACAACTGTGGCAGAGGTGTATCTGTTCTTTGCCACAATAATGCTTATGCCACATGTGTATAAACACAGTGTCAACACATACTGGTCGACAGACCACCTGCTACTGTTACGTATGCTACACTCTTCAGACAAAACAAGGCTTGACAGAAGTGACAGGTTATATAAAATTAGGAATGAGTTCATGTACCTGAAAAAAAAGTGCTGTATATATTTTTATCCCTTCAGGAAGCTTGTTATTGATGAGTCTGATTTTATTCAAAGGCAGACTGTCAGCCATGCAGTATATACCAAGCAAGAGGAAATGCTTTGGTATAAAGTTATTTGTAATGTGTGACTGCAAAAGTGGTCTGGTTTTGGATATAATTGTGTACACTGGCATTAATACATTGCAAGATACCAGGAAGTTACTAGGTATCTCTGGTGATGTGGTTAGAACAATGATGGAACCATATCTTGGTAAGGGGCATATTTTATATACTGATAACTGGTACACAAGCCCTTTACTCACTGATTTCTTGCGAGTGAACATGACAGACGTGTGTGGCACAGTGCATGGAAATCGTAGACATATGCCTAGGTTCAGTGCAGGCACTCGTAGAGGTGAAGTTCAGGTGTTTGCTGCCAATGATATCATGGTATTTTGGTGGCATGACAGATGTGATGTCACATTGTTGACATCAGTTCACCGACACGAAATGGTAGACACTGACAAGCAGAATAGAGACCAATGAACCCATTCTAAAACCTGCAGCTGTGGTGGACAGCAACCTCAATATGCACTTAGTGGACAAATGTGACACACAGATTGGGTTTGCTGATTGTGTTTGCGAGAGTTTTAAGTGGTACACAAAACTCTTTCTCCATCTATTTTACATTTCCATGCTGAATGCTTATAATATGTATAGTTGAAAACCAACAACAAACCCAAATATGGTGAATTTTGTTGGTTATCAGACAAAAAATATTCAAGTACCAAGGAACAACACTTGCAATAGACCAGCACCCATGAAATTACCAACACGTGCCATCTCGTGTGAGGCCTGGTGATCGCTACCCCATACCACTGCCTCCTACTACTATCAAGAAAAATGCTCAGAAGAGGTGTTATGTCTGTGCACATACCACAAAAATGCAGAGGCACTCGTTTTATGTGAGGAGTGTAAAATACCATTGTGCATACACCCATGTTTCAAAGAATTCCACAAGCTGCAGCAGTTCTAGGAAAGTGTCCAGTGATTGTACATATGTATCTATATATTATAGAACAATAGTAATAAACATTTTTTATATTTGTTTCTTTAAACAAGTTTTGTAAACAATCTGATGATACAGTGGACCCTCAACTAACGGCGGCATTGTCTAACGCCAAAATTGACTAACGGCACTCTTTGGCATCAAAATATTGGCTCTACCAATGCCAAAAAACTCGCCTGAAGGCTTTTGTCCTGAACATGTCCATGTGGCCTGAGTGGGCCCGGCCACTCCAAGACTCCGTGTATAGAAAGTCTGCCAAGTCGTTGGAGTCGATTCAATGCATACATGCGATATACAGTGGACCCTCGACCAGCAATGGCATCGATTAACGATAAATCTGACTAGCGATACATTTTATCACAAAAATTTTGCCTCGATTAGCGCTAAAAAACTCGACCAACACTATTTGTTCCGTCTGAGATGCGTCCACTTCTGGCCAGTGTTTACAAGCCATCCAGCCACCGCGGTCGCTTCCAAGCATACAATCGGAACATTTCATATTATCACAGCCTTTTTAGTGATTGCACCTGCAAAATAAGTCACCATGGGCCCCAAGAAAGCTTCTAGTGCCAACCCTACAGCAAAAAGGGTGAGAATTACTATGGATATCAAGAAAGAGATCATTGCTAAGTATGAAAGTGGAGTGCATGTCTCCGAGCTGGCCAGGCTGTACACAAAACCCCAATCAACCATCGCTACTATTGTGGCCAAGAAAACGACAATCGAGGAAGCTGTTCTTGCCAAAGGTGCAACTATGTTTTCGAAACTGAGATCGCAAGTGATAGAAGATGTTGAGAGACTGTTATTGGTATGGATAAACGAAAAACAGATAGCAGGAGATAGCATCTCTCAAGCGATCATATGT